CCCTCTCTCTCTCTCTCTCTCTCTCTCTGTTTAATTTTCTGTCGTGAGCTCGTGTATGGCTGACAATTCCAATGCATATGTGTGTTAACATAATTATTGTATGTAACCGGCAGTTCACGTATGCACGTTGCGTTGCCAATTACGGAATGCGGTGTCCTTATCGTTTCTGTGAACATCGATTATAGATTATCCTATGAGTCTGTGGTGTGGCTTGTAGTTAGTGCTTAGACGAGCTGTTGTGTTTGAGGAGACCACACACGGTGCATTATCTGTAGCAAAGTGGCCCGAACTGATTAGTCTGTTATATTATGCTGTCCCCGTGGTTTTATGCTCTCGCATAATTTTGCAAAATGTGATCATTTTGTGCATAGTTTCTGATCAGTTTCCTTCATCATTCTTTGTTAAAATTAACAGAATCGCATAATTTCACGTTTTTTGGGCTCAGTTTGCATAATTTAAGAATTTTTCTTGCATAAAACGACGGATACAGATTATGCAAAAGCTAACTGGGCGAACTGTGGGTAAGACGTGCCCAATAGGAATCGCTTTAATTAAGTAAGAGTATTGCTTTTATGCCTTTTTCAACGCTATTATAATTTAGAAGGCGAGATCTCCGAATACGGAGAGCCCTTGTAAGTGTAAGTTATAATCGTTGTGCCGGGAAAAGTAGCGTGTGAAATTTCACACAGCACCGATGGTATGCGGGTGGTTGGCGGGTGCTCTGATGTTGTTTGCTCCTTTTTCCCTATCAAACATGATCTATCGTCCTGATCTCTCCTCCTCCTGTATTGTTTGTTACTCTTTTGTAACACGACCGATCTTCGGCACTTACATGACCTTGTTGAGTTGCAAGTGCCGTAATACTTTAAAAGACTAAAAGCCAATGGTATTAAAATGCATTGTTTTTCCTGGCGTAATGGAGTCACGCTTGGCAGATTTAGATCTGAAGACAGTCTGGGGGAGTAGGCAAGATAAGGGCCGTCGGTCACCTTGAGTGGGGGCTACTTTATGTCCCCTGATCCTATTGTTTGACACTCACTTGGGGATCGAGTTCCGTGCGTTGTCTGAAGGGTCTTATGGTGAAGTTCTGTACAAAAACATTTCTGTAGAACCCGTTCTGCGGTTATGCCATGCTTTCGCTTTTGTCCTCTCGCGATTTCACCGTTGTTCCAGTGGATGGGTCTACATATCTAGGCTACATATTATGTAACAATTGTCTTGATAGCAACCGTGTCGATGAAGTTATCATTTTCTATTGGTAGATCGGTAGACTTGTATTACAAATATACCCAACACTGGGCGCTGTGACGTGATTCCGAAAGATCTACACCTAGCCTTCTCGGACAAGGGCGAAAAATCTCGGAGGGCCCGTGTGCAAGTTGCGCACGTTAAAGATCCCTTGGTGATCTAAAATCGATGAGAGTAGGCTTCGGCCGCCACCCGGGCAAAATTCAAAATTTCCTCCCAACTGAAAACATTAGGAGTGTCCCGCGCGCTCATATGACCTATGCAGTAAAACACTTTACAAAAACAAACAAAACGTGATTCCGGTTCTCCTTGGAGCGCGCCATTAGACTCTAATTGGAACCAAAAGGACTGAAAGGTTGCGCACGCACTCAAATAACCGAGACTGGTGTTATATATATATATATTTATTTATTTATACCTATATAATTGT